AAGATGTCAGATACGCGCCATATGAATTGAATATTCTGCGGCGATATGTTTACACATCAGCTCGAAAATAAGGAAGACAGAAGAGTCGTATAAGGGTACCGTGAGCGCATACGCAAATGCATCGAACTCAGCTAGGAAACCCGATTGACTTCCTGCACCGCATTGGCACAGGTGTAGATTTTCCACAAACGTTGACCTACAACTTCCGTAGCCAAACGAATGAAGGAAAGTGTGGAACACCAATGAACAACGCAGTCAACTCGTAGCCCTTTTCTACGTGCTTCTAACATGAAATTTACTTTCCAGGCTAAAAGCTGCCTTGTGGGGCACTCTCGCAATCACCGTTGACAGAAAGCTAGGGACGTCTATCAGTGTTGACCAAACCATATTGACCTGCACATCCCCTGAACGTGAGCATCGGACCCGGATTGCATTGGTTTGACGACTCCATTTTTACGTAGACATAAGCAGCACTAAAAATTTCGCATCAATGCCGCCACCACTGCTTACAGCATTGTGATTTAATTCGCGACATGCTATAACAGCCACAAACCCTGGGTCCAAACATACTGGTCACGTCACCAAAACGGCTACCACAATCTGCTACCGGTCGCCTGCAAGAACGGCTTCGTATGAATCAACGAAAACAACAATACGCCAACCTGTCAAAACACCGCGGGAGGGGTAGAGAATTAGTCGGAGGTCAAGGGGGTATACGGCAATCCCAGGCCACAAAACTACAACCAACACCTGATGAAGATGGCCATCGCAGGTTAGGATCATGGAAGTGCACAAAGATAAGCTGTGTGGAGGAAGAGGAGGGATTAACATATGGTGTGGATCAGAACGCCTATTTGACCAGTAAATACGATCGATTTTATTTTCTGTATTTTTTCCTACTGGAGGAAAATTGCTGAAGTTGTTGCTTGTCAAATTAGAGAGACGAACCAACATCAAGGAGTCACGCCTTTTCCAAAAACCTGCATTTCAACCTAAACAGTAGATCCATCAAACACCCCCCTGCCCCCCACAGATATCACATCCATAATTGATACTTGACAGAGGGCATTTAAATCCATCCAATCCCACTTCCCAAAACCAACAAATCACAGTACCGGTGGTCGATAAAAGGGAGGTATGGACAGAAGCTTGAATACAATTTGGAGTTACTAAGAGCTGGAAAACGGCTGTAAGGAGGGATGCATTTACCGGCAGATTTGATGAAGGTGATTTTCCGAATACATGAAGTGCTCTCAAATTGCTTCAACTTGCCAAGAACGACTCTGAAATGAAGAAAGAAGAGAAATGGTTGCAATCATGCAAAAACATAAAGCACTCCCGTGTCGGTAAACGCGAACGCGTTTGGGAGGGGATGAAGTTGGTACAAAAAGTGTACTCACTCACCTAGTTCCGTTAATGTATCCGCTCTTTAGCTTCTTAATCGTGGTTACAATGGATGGCAGGAAGGCTTCCGATTCTGCTAGTTGCGCACAGTGGAAGATTGCACACCAGAAGCAAAACAAACACAGAAGAGGTAATAAGAAACAAGAAGTTATCAGGCAGCAGATTTGAGAATGCATGAGAAGAGTAGAAGGCACAGCTCATGGCAGCTTAACAAATGGCCATAGGGTGAAGGTGCAAGATGATGTCTGTGCAAGCCACATGCAGTGCGATAGGCCCCATCTACATATGGTAGATTCATATGCGAAAAAATTCGAGGTCAAGATAAAATATTCCTTTCATCATCCCCGGAAGAGGAAGAAGAAGATTTGACACAGCTCATGAAGACGCCCATGAGGGCACGAGCAATTCAAACAGCCACATAAATTGATCGGTGCAACCGATTGATTTATGGGCAAGGCTGCTGGTCGGATACATTCATCTGACGCGAACAGGAGTACAGACAGCACGCCCTGACGATGGAAGCTTTTGAAACTTCAACCAAAAAATACATCTTGGTCCCAGAAATCGTCTCTTCTTCTTCTTCTTCCTCTTCC